CTATTTTGCTGAAAACAAAACCCTAAGCCATCACGAGTATAATATTCACTGGTATAAAAATGGAATGCATTTAGCTTTACATTGCTCTAACAAGATCTCATTTTGCTTCTGAGTAGCAAAAACCTCTCCATGGGTCTGCAGCCATCAACAATGAGCCTGGGACCCTGCTGTAGAGACGATACCAGGGCCAGGCCCGAGGGAGCAGTTTCGTGACCACAGATGCTGAGCGGTGCTCGGGGTGGCTGCAGCTAGGCCGTGCACCCAGCTTTAATTTTGAGGACTCCTGTCTGCAAACATGCAGGCCTGCTGCCTTCCCTGTCCCAGACCTCCCCTGTGAACACCCAGGCCTGCCACCTTCCCCACCCCAGACCTCCCCTTTCTTACTTCGTGGCTTTTAGAACTCATTCCCCAAGACTGGCAGTCCTGTGCCAGGGATTAGGAGTTCGCTGGCCAGTTCACAGGGCATGGATTTAATCCCTGGTCTGGGAAGACCCCACATGCTGAGGAGAGCTCAGCTGTGAGCCCCAACTCCTGAGGCCCGCACACCCAGGGCCCACACCCCAAAATGAGAGAAGCCCCCCTGCTGAGGAGCCTGCACATCACAACAGAGGGACACCTGCTTGATGCAACTAGAGAAATCCATCCGCAGCAACCAAGACTTAGCACGGCCAAAAATACATACAACTAAAAAAATAAAGACAGCATAGTCCAGCACAACACGGCCCATCTCAGATGTGCAAGGTATCATTTCCTCCTTCACCCTGAGGGTAAATACGTGTCCTCCTCACAGTATCACGGACAGACCCAGCACGGTGTGTCTTCCACAAATCTATACCCACCACATTCTCTTTGTTTTATTTTTTCACCATTCCTATAAAGCTAATGTCATATGGAATGAGTCAGAAGAGTCAAAGGCCTAGATTATTCATTCATTGATTCGTTCATTTAATAAATTTTGAGAGCCGATTATGCAGCAGACTCTACATCAGGTTCCAGGGATACAGCACTGGGCAAACAGCACAGTCCCTTCTCTCATGGGGGGAGACCATGACAAACAAACAAACAAACAAATATGTAATTATAAAATGTGATGAGCACAGTGAAATGTCAGGAGTGTCATGACAGAGTATAAGAGATGCAGAAGGTAAGAGAAGCTTTCCTGAGAAAGCAACAGCTGAGCTGAGGCCTGAGATGATGTAGTAGATGCCCATTGGTTTTGGTCACTTTTGGTTCACTTTCTCTTCTTTTGATGACAACACATGATGATTCTTTGGGGGCTTTCTTTAGGGGAGGCCTATTCTTCTTGGGTTGGTGCTGTGATCAAGCTAGGCCACGTGACCAAGCCAGGTCCAGCTGGCTTTCATTCAGGGCTTGGACTCTGAGTGGAGTGACACAGGATGGAAGACAACCGGAGAGGGCAGGGCGTGACCAGCGACAGAAGGAGCCAAAACGATGCTCCCGAGGGCTGGCTGCACCAGGCTTCATGGGGCCAGATGAAGGCTTTGGATTTTATCCTAAATGCAAAGGAAAGTTGTAAAGCTATTTTGAGCACAGGGAGGATATTTTTGTGAGCAACCAGTGTCACAGAGGGAAAACAACCCAACAAACAATCCAGTCCAATGAACAGTGTGAAGATTTTTGGTCTTCTCAGTTCTGCCCTAAGCTAGCTCCAGGACCCTGAGAATTTGTCAGGCTCTTGTAATCTCTAAATTCTCTGAGCCCCAGTGCCTTCATCTGCAAAATGAGGTAGGGGATTAGCTGATCTTTAATTTCCCTTCCTTCTCGGATGTTTCATGATCTACAGAGAAACCCTGTCAAATAGAACGAAGTGCTCATCATCAAGAAGTTTATAACCAAATGGGAGATATGAACATCCAACCTCTATAACCCCTGCTGTGTTCCAAGGAGCTATGTTTAAAGTGGTTTTTAAGCTGGTTTTGCCAGCTCATTGTCTTATTGGCTGCAAAAGGATTTTAACCAGGTTCAGTAGTCATTCAATGCAGAACTTTGAGAGAAGGCATTACTTGAAGTGTGATACTCTGTTAAGCTGAGACATGTTAACTTCAACTGAGTGCTTCATGACAGAAAACACGAATGAGTGTATTGACTCTTGTCTGAATTTCACCAAGACCTTGTAACTGTGGAAATGGCTGCGTGTGATATGTCTGCTGCTGCTCTGTAACTAAGTCACATCCAACTCTGTGACCCCATGGACTGCAGCACGCCAGGCTTCCCTGATTACACCAACTCCCGGAGCTTGCTCAAACTCACGTCCATTGAGTCAGTGATGCCATCCGACCATCTCATCCTCTGCCGCCCCCTTCTCCTCCCGCCTGCAGTCTTTCCCCCATGTCTGTCAGTTTATCTATTGCTGCCAACACTCAGTGGCTTAAAGCAGCCACCATTTTATTTCTCACAACTCTTGGGACGCCTGGGTCATTTTGGCTAGACTTGCCTGGGCTCAGTCATATGGCGGCATTCAGCTGGTGGGTTGGCTGGGGAACTGCTACAGCTGGGATGAAAAGCCTCTCTCTGCCTCAGGCTTTCATTTTTGAGGAGGTTGGACCAGGTGTTTTTCACGATCTTCACAGCATTTCAAGAAGGCAAGGAACGAGGCGCAAGTGCTCGTCAAACAGCCCTCGTTTGCCGTGTTTGTGGATGTCCCAGCCGCCAAGCCCAGGCTTAACAGAGGAGGCTCCACACCAAGGACATGCATAGGAGGTGAGAGTCATCAGAGGCCATTAAGGTGACTGTGTGAACTGTCCCTCTTAGATATGCATTGCAAGACGTGCAACTTTAACCTATATGGTGCTTTCACAAAGACACAATGTTCATGTTATTACTAGTATAAGGAAGCATTTGGAGTCACCTTATTAAGGGACTGAATCCTACATCAAGTGGTTCTGCTTGCCTCATAAAATTATTCATTAATTTTTGCAGGGGCCTTGGAAAGTTATGTACATATTTAGAGGAAAATACCATTTACAATTATAATGAATTAAAGCAATCTTTACTGCAGTACCACTGCCTCAGATTGGAACTAAGGCTTTCTAATTTCATATTAGCAGCATCTATGTCCGCCCAACCCCTCTACCCAAGGATGTGGGTGCCCTTCTCGTCGAGCAGACCTCAATCTCTTTTGAGGGCAGGAATCCTACCTCACCCATGTTTCTTTCCCTCCCTCTCTCAGCATGTATGACACTCAGTGGATGCTCCTTGAGCTGTGCTATGCTAGGCTCAGATGCTGAGTCGTGTCTAACTCTCTGCAACCCCATGGACTGTAGCCCGCCAGGCTCCTCTGTCCATGGGATTCTCTAGGTAAAAATACCGGAGTGGGTTGCCATTTCCTCCTCCAGGGGATCATCCTGACCCAGGGATTGAACCTGCGTCTCCTGCATTGGCAGGTGGATTCTTTACCACTAACCACCTAGGATGCTCCCTAAATGCCGGTTAAATAAACAAATCGACAGTTGCCTTTTAGTAAACACCTTTATGTTCCAGGCACTTCACTCACAGATTGGGTCACCAATCTCAATGCCACAGATGTGTCATTCTCCACAGTTTACAACTCAGGGGACTGAGTTCCAGAAAGCCCAAGGTGGACAGGCTGGGATTCCAGCCCAGTCCTGGCTGATGCAACTTCATTGGACCCCCTGCTGTTTTTCATGCAAAGCAGAAAGGAGACTGTCAAAAGTGAAAAGACAGCCTCCAGGTGTTGAGATAGGGGCAATGAGGAAACAGTAGAGGCTGTAGATTGCAGAAGCCTTTAAGCATTCACTGCCTTTACAAGAAGATAAACACTGTTCATTAAGAGATTGGCCATCAAAACCCAGGTGGAAAACCAGTAGGAGAGCCGGTTCTACAGCTCTTAAAAAACCCACTACCAATTAGTTAATTCTTGCGGGTGGGGAAGAGGAGAGACAGGAGAGGCCCTGTTGGGTAGGTGACAATTCCACACTCATAAAGGGTGTCCTCAGACAAAAAGATGGCCATTAGTTTACATTTTGCGTATAGTTTTTATTGCCTACTAGGTCAGTAATAATAGTAACAATAGCTACCCATTAGTGATCATAATATCGGCTTCTACCACTTAGTTCTGCAGCATAGGTGGGTGGAGGGGCTGAGCAAGGCACTTCACATACAATGCAAGGTCTCAATGCGAACAACAGCCCTGGGAAGTAGGTTTTACTATTCTCAGTGTATAGACGAGGTAACCGCTCAGAGAGATTAGCTTTCCCAAGAGTTTCCAGCTTTTAAGTGGAAGATCTAAATCCTAAGTCTGTTCGACTAAAAGCCCCTAGTAGCTGGGCGGTGGGGCCTGTGCCGCTCGGTGCTGGTCTGAGGTCTGAAACTGTGAATCTTATTTATTTATGCAACGCTGAGCACGTGTCTGTGTGTGTGTAATTCACAAACGAAAAAACAAATCCAGGTCTGGGTATCTGTTCTCTGGAAGTTTAGAAGCCTGCGTGGTGGAGAGCTGCCAACGTCTGTCCTCATTCATTCGCTCCTTGGATCCCGTAAGAAGTGTTTGTGGCGCACTTGGGTATTCCGGGCGGGGCGCGAAGCTAGGGGAGGGGACTGAAGCCGGCTGCTCCCCAGCCTGACCTGACTTTCTCCGGGGCAAGGGCTAGGGTTCAGGGAAGCAGAAACGGTATGGAGCCTCCTGGGGCGCGACCCGCACCGGCGGCGGGGCGGCGAGTGGCAGCTGGCCGGGGCGGGCTCCCCGAGGCGGGCAGTGCTCGGCGCGCGGAGAGGAAGGGGCGCGCTCGGGGTCCCCGGCTGGAGCCCGCAGGTGCCCGGCGGGGCCCGCGGTGAGCAGGGGGAAGGCAGGCCCGCGGGGTCGCCGGGGAGCCGGGGGCGGAGTGGAGCGGCGGTGGGCTTGCCCCCTCCCCCCTGCCGGGGCGGACGCGGCGGTGGGGGGGTCGGGCTCAGAGTTGGGGACGCCTCTGGGCGCCCGGAGACCCGGTGGGGAGTTCCTGGAACTGCTGGAGGAGGCGGCAGAGCCGCGCTTCCTCAATCGCATGGGCCAAGTACCTCCCCTCCCCGTCTGCTAGACTCGCCTCCCCGACTGCGGCGCTGCTGTCTGGGAAGTTGATGAGGGACCCCTGAGTGGATGGGATATTTAGGGGTCCCGTGGGCAGTAGGATTGGGCTGCATGCAGTCATAACCGTTGCCAGGAGAAAACGCAGCTCTGACCCCCTCTGAGCCTCACGCACCCACCCCCATTCCCCTCTTCAGCACCAGCCTCGTCGGTATTTCCTGGGTTCGGCTACGGATCCGCAAAGCCTAGCAGCCCCTCTGTTCGCAAAGTTGTGGTCTTCCTGAAGGGGCTTAAGACATGGCCTTTGATTCTCGGGCTGAGGCTGGCTATTTCAGAAACAAGTGGTTCTGCAGATCCTTTATTGGAATAATCTGTGTGGTGCCCCTTGACAGTGGAGATGACTCATGTTAGCTTTTTTTTTTCCCCTTCAAATAAACTTTGTATTCAAGACACAAGCTTGCCAGGTCATTTGCAACAGTGATAGAGCTGGAAACCCACACTGCAGGCCTTGAGACCTTGTGCTAGTCCTAGATGTGTTAGCAAGGATTATGGCCTCCAATAATGGCATCATCGACTTGATGGACATGAGTTTGAGTAAGCTCCGGGAGTTGGTGATGGACAGGGAAGCCTGGCGTGCTGCAGTCCATGGGGGGCAAAGAGTGGGACATGACTGAACGACTGAACTGGTGGCCTCCAGTGCATCACTTCCCCTCTTTGGAGCTCAGTTTCTTTATCTGCGAAATGTGGTATACAGAATGAGCTGGGCAGTCTTAGGTGCCAGGAGTAGCTGTTTGAGGGAACCTGGTATCTTTTTCCTTGTGAACCTAGATCAGCCACACAAAGTCCACCTCAGCCTATTATGAAGAAATTAGGGTGGACTTAACACAGCTCAGAAGCAAGAGAGGCTGCATAAGGTAAAACAGAACCAAAAACTAACAATAATTGGTACTGGATTTTCAATCGGGGTACTGTTCTTATGTGTACAATTAGTGTATTGCCTGTTCAGCTATCATTACCGTAAAGTTGTTAACTGTGCTTTAAAAAATTATGTATGTCTCATCTGTGGACCTGAATTTTTTCTTTTGTTTGAACCTTCAAGCCTGGAGTGGATGTGCAGTGGATCCACTTGGAGCAGTCTTACTTGAAGAATAATACCCCCAGGGTCTCCCCTTGCTGTGGGTGAGTGCTCAGTCATGCCCGACTCTGTGACCCCATGGACTGTAGCCCACCAGCCTACTCTGTCCATAGGATTTTCTGGCAAGAATACTGGAGTGGATTGCCATACCCTCCTCCAGGGGATCTTCCTGACCCAGGGATTGAACCTGGGCCTCATGCACTGCAGGATGATGCTTCACCGCTGAGCCACCTGGAAGCCCCTCTTGTTGTCACAGGACCATGGGTTTCCTTTGTCTGACTGATGCTGCCATCTGTGTACCACCACACTTCTGTCATCTCTTCCGTGCTGACTTGAGAAGTGGGGGGCTGATTCCTGTTGCATGTGGCATTTCTGAACCTCCCAGGTTTCAAGTGAATGAAGTTAATAGGCAAATAGTGCATTAGATAAAGCACATTAAAAATAGCTCAAGGTAATAATGTGTCTGCTCCACCCCTATTCCCTAGACCGTCTGGACAGTCTGTCAGTAGAAGTTGAGAGGCACTTCCCGGCCATCTTGTTTTGGATGCTGAGAAGTTGAAATGCCATGGCTGGGTCAAATGGCACATTCACGGTCAAGCCATGGTGCTGGTAGGCGGGGAGGCTTCTGTGTGTGTGTGTGTGTGTGTGTGTATTTTATCATAACTGAATGTTCTCTTCCATTAGTAGCTTTCAAATCCATATTGGGTCTGACCACATTATTTTCAGTAATCCTTTTCTGTCAGTTTCTTGTATAAAATTTTACTTTAACTGAGAGCTATTAAATTAATAAAAATTCTGGTGCTAATAATAGTTGTCATTTGAGCCCCTACCATGTATCAGGCAGGACAAGATACGGTGGCTCAGCGGTAAAGAATCTGCCTGTGATGCAGGAGATGCAGCAGGGGTCGTGGGTTCGATCCCTGGTGGGGAAGGTCCCCTGGAGGAGGGAATGGCACCCACTCCAGTGTTCCTGCCTGGAGAACCCACGGACAGAGGGGCCTGTCAGGCTACCATCCATGGGGTCACGAAGAGTCAGACACGACAGCGTGCACACATCTAATGTTTTGTGATAGTGGAAGAGTAATTGTTTTTTTTTTAACTTTTTATTTTGTTTTGGGATGTAGCTGATTAACAACGTTGTGTAGTGTCAGGTGAACGGCAGAGGCACTCAGCCATGCGTATGCATGTACCCCTTCTCCCCCAAGCTCCTCCCCCACGGAAACGTAATTCTTAACTGTTTCTTACAGGATTGAGATATTAAATGAGATCTTATATGTGAAAAGCAATGTGTAAACTGTAAAGTGCCCTCCAACCCGGGGCAGGTTTTATCCTAAGCACCCGAGGACTCTGGAAGCTTATGAGTCCATGACTCAGGAGCCCAGTGTCTGGTGGGCCTGGTGTACATGCTGAGCCCGTCGCCTAATCCCTCTGAGCCTGTTTTCTGTGTATGTAAAATTAGGCTGATAGTATCTGCCTTGCACTAAATGAGATGTACTTGTGAGTTGCAGCAGGTACTCAGTGATGGTTAGCATTCACCCCTTCCTCTCCCCTTGCCCATGGGTGCTTGGAATAATGGGATTGATTAAGTCTTCCAGTAGGAATTGTCCTCCAGGGAAATAGGCTTTAAAGTACGTTTTTGTACTTATAAATAATTCTTTTAGTTTTTGGTTTCCCACTGCACTCTCAACACAGTGAATATTCTGGGTCTTAGCATCATCCGAAAGGAGGGGATTGCTGGAACTGGCTCAGCCTTGTGAATCAACTATACTTCAAGTGAGAATTAAAAGAAAGGCGGGGCTTGAAGCAAACTAGAAACCAGAGGGAACAGGTCTTTGGTAGGGGCTAAAGATGGATGTGGCTAGTTACCTTTTGCCCGTTCTGTGCAAAAAGGGAAAGAGACCGAATTTGGGGACTTCTGGCCGGAAGGAGGCATTGATAGAGCTGTAGTATATGGTGGGAGGGTAGGGAAGCTATGGGCTGCGAAGAGGATGGAAGAGGTGATTTTGACGGTAAAATCTGGACAGTTTGTCATGGGGGAATTCTGTTAGATGAGGATTTGGCTAAATATGGGACCAATTTCCATCAAGTCCTATAGGATCTCTTGTGGCACTTTGAAGCTTTTGTGCTCCAGGCAGATTTTGACTGGTTGTGGTATCATCATAAATGAGTTTCCATAGTAAGTTGTATGCGGAAAATGAAATTAAATTCCAAGAGGGTGTTTGTTGTGACTGATGCCAGAATTTCTCTGAGAATTTTATTAAGATTCAGTCAGTCTATAAAAGTACTTCTTAGTTCTCTGAAGATATTAATTAAGAAACAATTTTTAAAAAAAACCCAGAAATGTCTCCTTTGTGAGCTTTTGAAATGTAATCTTCCTAAATCTTTGGAAAAAATGAAGTCTAAGAAAAAGTTGCAAGGCCATATATTTTAAAAGCAGTTCCTCCGAAGTGATTTTTTCTTCTCTTCCAGTCTCTTCCCTCCTCTCATATTATTGTGATAATGAGTTAATTTTGATGTCTTTCACATCTTGGGAGCCTAATTTTTATGTTTATGACCCTTCATCTTTAGATCGTGAACGTGCCTTTTTTCTGAGCTTGCCCGTGTTCGTTCATTGTGAGGAAGTAGCACAACAAGGTCATGAAGAGCGGAGACCCTGGGGCCAGCATGGGGACAGGGAGAGTCGTGGTCCTTCTTGGATAGCCGGGGTGTCCTCTGCTGGGCTCACAGGGGCTCCGGATGTCAGTCGTGTTATTCCCCTGCTCAGATGAGGAGACAGCTCAGAAGCGCCTGCATCCCCAGAGCCGGGGTGGGATGTTCGCCCGCGCGGCAGCCCTGATGTCTGTGAGTCCAGAGCGCGGGAGGCAGGGGCCAGGCCGCCCTGCTGGCGCTGGACTCCGTCCCGGAGACGGGCTGGGTCGGGGCTGCGGTTAGAGGCGGCCCCGGGGGCTGCGTGGAGCCCCCGAGGGGCAGCAGAGAACTGAGGCCNCGCTGGACTCCGTCCCGGAGACGGGCTGGGTCGGGGCTGCGGTTAGAGGCGGCCCCGGGGGCTGCGTGGAGCCCCCGAGGGGCAGCAGAGAACTGAGGCCGTCAGAGTAACTGGCCCGAGAGAGCGTGAGGGTTGGACTCATGCCGTTGAGGCTGGCAGGTGGTGGGGCACGGGGGCTGCTGGCCGTGGACAGTGTTCCGTCCTTAGCCCTGAGCTTGAGAGATGAGGGGCCAGGTCTCCGCTCTCCCCACTTACCCTCATGGCCAGTCTTGTGCCGCAGGCGGGTATTAATGCCATGTGCAGACTGAGAGCCTCTCTAGAAACCACGGCGGCCTCCTGTGGGCTCTCAAGGAGGAAGGTGCCAGGATAANGGCCAGTCTCGTGCCGCAGGCGGGTATTAATGCCATGTGCAGACTGAGAGCCTCTCTAGAAACCACGGCGGCCTCCTGTGGGCTCTCAAGGAGGAAGGTGCCAGGATAAGCCCCAAGCCCTGCCCTGTCTTCGCCCGCCCACCTGGCCTTCGTTACCACCTTTCCTGGAGCAGCTTGGGATGGAATTCAGGTTCTCAGACCCCAGTCCCTGAGGGATGGCAGGCTTGAATGTTCACACTTCAGGCGGAACGATCGCAGGGGAAAAGCCCCGTGGAGGCCGCCTCCCTGGGTGGAGTCCGCACCCTCCTGCTCCTGGGGGACCCAGCGGGCCGCGCTGGCCCTGGGCCTCCGCTCTGGATGGGGGTGGCGGGTGGTCACCAGGCATCCGGGGCTGGTTGTTGGGCAAGTTTTCGGGATGGCCGGCCCTGCTGGGAGGTGAGCCCACCCCCCGAGGGGTGCAGTGCGGTGGGGAGCAGGGAAGCGGCGTCAAAGCCCAGGGGCGCTCGTGGGGCCTGCGTGTCCTCATTGTAAAGGGCCTGCAGCCACGTCAGGAGTGCACTGGTCCTGGGCCCTCTCCCCTCGCTAGTGCCCGCGTCCGTTGCCCAGGCTTCTCATTTTCTTTGCATAAACACTCGGACTCTTTAGGTAGCTCCTGCTGAGCTCTGCCCCGTTGATTAGGTCCTGGCTTTTCTTGGGCCGCTTCCTCACTGCGAGGCGGCTGAGGGTCCCTGCTGGGCCTGCCTGCTCCCGGCTTCTGCAGGCAAGGCCTCGCCTCGGTGAGTCACGCACAGCGACTCCGCTGCCCCGCCGTGCGGGGGACACGCCTTCCCCCCAAGACGGGGCTTCTGTCCCTTGTCCTGAGGGTGGTCGCCTCGCCGTGGGCTGTTCCAGTGCCCCGTGTGTCTGGTGCACTGATGGGTACCTGTTCCAATGGGAGGAAAGCACCTGACCTGGGGACGCCAGCTGTCAGCCTGCCTCCTGAACATCATGTCCTAAGCAAAGCCCCTCTTTTTCTTTTTGCTCTGTGTTTAGCTATGTATTTGTGTGTTTGTTTTAGTTATTATTAGGAAGCAAACAAGGTCTTTATCAAATCTTTAAATTTACAGACATGTTACTGTGGGCAAGCAGAAAGAGTAATTGTGTTTACCCAGGATATCACTGATTGATCTCTCCTTGTTCCACGTGGTTCTTGTTCTGTTGGCAGAACCCTCTGATGTGTATACTGGTTCAGCTTCAGTGTTGAATGTGAAGGGAGGCTTGACCGGTTGTTCAGAGGGAGTTGAATGGGTGGACGCTGGGCTGCCAGCCCGGCTGTCCTTGGAGCCTCAGAAAAGTGGCTCAGATGGTAAAGAATCCACCTGCAGTACACGAGACCCGGGTTTGATCTCTGGGCTGGAAAGACGCCCTGGGAAAGGAATGGCAGCCCACTCCAGTGTTCTGGCCTGGAGAATCCCATGGACAGGAGCCTGGCGGGCTACAGTCTATGGGACCGCAGAGTGTGACACGACTTAACGACTGATACGTTTCCTGCTTTCCCTTGTTCTCCAGCTTCACTTGGGAGTGGCTCTGCTGGTGACAGGGTGACCTCCCCTCTGCTGTGGGAAAGGGAATTCTCCTTCACTCTGGTTCTTTCTTTCTTCTCATCCCGTGGGGTGAGAGGGAGGCAAGTCTTGGAACAGTGGCTCCT